GGCGAGACTAGCAAAAGTTGATTTTTGCTAACATATTATAAAACAAAAATTTGCTAAGTTTGAAACTTAGCTATCAATACAAATACGAAAAAGTTCAAATAGAATATGAGTTGTTTATTGAGTTTTGAAAATTAAATTACTTTTATACATGAAAGAAAACCGGAAGGTTAGTGTTGGAGAAATCAAGAAAGTAACGTAGCATTTGTCGTCATCTAGTTTGATTTCGGGAGCTAATGATTTTTTTTAATGGTACCTCCTCATTATTTTTTGACATTAATAAGGATGGTCATCAAATCTTCACCTTCATTATAATGAAATTGCTTCTGTAATTTTAAGAATTAGTTTTCAAAAAAGAGATTGGTAATTGGAATATATATGCGTGAAATACATATTAAAGTACTGGAAGATTTTATCCTTTAAATATAATCACGTCGATGAAATTTGATATAAATTCGAAACTAATCCGGATTTCATAAAACTTTAATGGGATCTTCTCAAAACAAATATAGGATATAAAAACAACATTAAAAAATATGAAGACAGCAATGTATTCATGAAATTCATTAAAAATACATAATTCATTTTACTTACTTCTTATTAAATAATCACGATGTGTGATTGTATCCTTGCGTGTTTATTCCACTGTGATTGCGGGATGTAGTTCAAAGCAGGACCCCTCCAATCCAACACACTGATGCACACCTAGAGCGTTGCCCTGCACTCACACTAGATATGAGCGATTCGATTTTCTACGCAGACGTGTAATATAATATCGGATTTCAAATTTAGAAATCGATTTCAGAAGTCCTTGACGGGTAATGGATTTTTGTAATCTTTGATGGTCTGTGGTTATTGTAGTCTTGGAAGTGGATTGCAACAAATGGTTACGACATTATGAGGTCTGAGTATAATAACTCTATGGTCTGACGTCTAGTTTTGAGTTTAGAGCATGAGTGGTGTATTTTAATTTAGATTTCAAAGTCTTTTTGGCTGGATGTTTAGTTTTTATTTTTGTCAATTTTATTTGCATTTGTGATAGCGATACGATAGCTGAAATAACTTTTTTGTAAAGGCCTACTCCTTTACAAAAATTACATATTTTTAAGATTAAAGTAAATTAACATATTCCGTCCATAATCTTTTTTTATTATTTTAACAATAGAAGCGGATTATTTTTGAGGTGATAAATTTAAAATTACTCGCTACCCGGAAAAAAAAGAATACGTGAACAAAAAGTATCAAATCAATTTGTATCATATCAATCATAATCAGAGTGACATCACAGAGTCTAATTCGAAAATTATTATTCAGTATCAAACGTCACATTATTCAGAAATTATCGTGTCTGTGAACAATGGGAGTGCTTTGATATATTAACGAGTGCATTGTTGTTTTGTCATCGAGACCGTATTAGTAAGAGAATCCTGAATGGCTTATTTAAATGATCGCCAGACCGTTGAGACTCGGTTCGCTAAATTGGATAGGTAATAGCATTATACATAACAATATGCCTTCAGGTAAGGTAATATTCCACTGCTGCGGCGCGCTAACGTTGCTATTTTTTGTACTGAAAGCTTAAAAATTGTGTTCAAAAAACCATTTTCTAGAATATTCATGATAGTTCCATATAATTAGTACTGTAGCAGAGTGACACGTATGATTTCCAGGTATTGTCATTTCTGAGGTCTATTAAGCGCGGATTAGCGAGATTATGTAGGGCTATTCCCTGGCGGACAAAATAAAATTTAAACAAAGAGCAAAAGCACACCCACTAAAACCCTTCAATGTCTTTTTCTATGGACGGTGATGCATGCTAACAGTCTTAGCTCCATATCGCACTGTTTGCCCCACTTATGTTTCCTTGCGCGGTCCCTCAGTGGGTAGGGAGTAAGACTTGAGAACACTTAAGTATCGCCCCCTAGACAGGTCAGGGATCATAAATAGTTTGTTGTCACCGCATACAAATAATAATGATCTTATTTTCCGAGCGCAATAGTGTGATAGCACCTTTAATGTTGGAAGTGAGCTGTCACCTGATTGCGACTGTGTTGACTAAATAAACAGTTTTTTTTGCGACCAACTGTTATTGTTGCCAGCAAATAAAAAACTTGGGTACTACAAAAGACCGATTACATTATTATTGAGACTTTCATTTTGTTTTGGCAGAGACAAATGTTGAAGAGTTTTAATTTCGGTTTCTATTGACATCAGTTGGTCGTAAGGTCAGCGAAGTTTCTTTTTCGCTACCTATTTTGAAAAAAGAGGAAGATTTTAAGAGCATCCTGATTAAATTTACTTATGGCACGTATTTGGACCAATAAATGAAAGCCGTTTTTTTATGTTCCAAATTATTATATTAATTATAAATACATAATCTATGTGACTTATTCGTAAATGAGGCTATCATGTTATGGTAACTTAAAAATTATCGTATTTAGGTATAATAAATTCAAAAGCATTATTATAATAGTATTTAAATTTCTTAATAGTTTTTGTGATAAAAGTGATTCTATTATCAGATACATTTAATTAATTTAATCTCATATAACCTTAGTTTTTAATATAAACATTTAGAAAATAAGATTGTAAAGTGATATGTGTATAGGCATCACATGTTCCCATAGATTAGAAAAAGAGGTTTCTCTGTTCTGCAGTGTTATTCTGTAATAAAATCAGCTAGAAGTCGATTGTCCACGTCATGACATAGGGGTTTAATCAAATAAAACTAACTTTAAAAGGTAATTAAGGTTTAATTTAATTTAATCTTGAGGCTGATTCGATTACAAAATAGCTAATCATGTTTGGGAAGTTTTTGGCGCGAAAGCGTAAAATACTCATGTTGACATCTTATGTTATTGTGTTAGTATTGTTATGTTAGTCATAATATAAAGTAATACAGATTAAACTAGATTAAACTTAAATCGGTGCCTACGTTCGTCCGAAATGATAATTTACAACAAATAACACTAAGATAATATTTTAATAACAATTTAAAGCCGATGTTTACCGATATTTTTAAACATACTTATTAGTTTATAATGTTAATAACAATAAAAATTAATTAAATATTGGAAACAATGACATTTCTTTTGGAAAGAATCAGCCAGGGTTTCAATGTTTCTAATTATGATATATGATATAGATTTTATGCAACTATGGCGTTCTAATAGTTAGTCTTTGGATGTGTGCCCTTTTTGAATGTCAGTAGGCATCAAAATCGTCATAATATAATAAGATAATAAATAAGGAACGTGTTGTCACCGAAATGTCTCTTTAAATTCATAAACATTAGGCTACGATGGAACGGACATGTTTTCAAAGTCTCAAATCAAGCGGGCGCACTATTAGCTTTCTACCCTGTACACGTAGCATGACGTACTCGAGAACGTTTTGTCTACACACAAAGTGTCTCTTGTATGCGCCCATAAAATATCTCACTCTCGACCCGAGAAAAATGACGTTAGTTGTAGACAAACCGTTTCATCAGGTACTGTACAATTCTTTTACTAGGTCACACAACACAAAATAAGAGACTTCATCATAAAGTTTTTACAACAGATTAATCAAGATGCCATTGTGTTGATAATATTGAGCCCAAGAGCAAAGTGTAATTAATTGAAACGCTATTGAGAAGCCATTATTATGATACATAGACTTCTGCAACCATGATTCAGGCCATTAGGTATGAAAGCCGTCAAAGCTATCAAATTCCTTGACATTTGATTAATTAAGTACTTACCATTGTAATGTTTAATTTTGGATTATATTATGATAGTAGTTAACATCAACAACACTAACAAATATACACTTTATTTTTACAATATAAGCGATCTGTTGACACATAACTAGCTGATCGGTTTTCCTCAGAAGATAGGTATCTATCTTTGTAGAAAATCGACATAGAAAATGTACGTATCTATTATGATATCGAAAAGTCGGTACTATCATATAATTGTAATGTATTTTTTAGAAGCAAACATTTTAAATAAACTTTAATTTGAAAAGTTAATTAGACCAAAGTTAAAACCAAATGATTAATAATGTTATATATCAACTTTCGCTGCTGATTTATCAGCTACTTTAGTATCGAATATCGATACTTTAATATCGAAGTGGAAAATTACCCAAGATAGGTATTACAATGAAAGGTTGGTTATATAATGGCAGCTACTTAAAACTTGCAGTCATCATTCTCTTTTTACCCGACTTGCCTTGCCTTGCGATGAGGCAATTCATATAGAGTACTAGTCTAAAAGACACGATTTAACTTTAGAAAAAATAAGGATAATACTTATAGGTAATTTATACAATTTTCATAGTACTTAATTCACTCAACAGCACATCAAGGTTCAGGGTGTCCAAATCTGCATATTTCTATAATCGATTTTAGACCTTAATTTGTCGAATAATAGTAATCGTAATCTATTTAAGTGCTTACTGTCAACAGAGAGCAAGGATATTTTCGAATTATTGAACTTAATGAGGAAGTATTTAAAAAAAAGATTACTTCCCGAAATCAAACTAGATGTCGCTACGGTACGTTCTTGATTTCTCCATGACACCCTTCCGGTTTTCTTTCGTGTTTTTAAGTAAATTAATTTTCAAAACTCAATAAACAACTCATATTCTATTTGCACTTTTTCGTTTTTGTATTGATATCTAAGTTTCGAACTTCTCAAATTTCAGATTTTTAATATGTTAGTTAAAAGGGACGGAAATTATTGTCTTTGGTCCATTCGTTTCTTGCAAAATTCAACTTTTGCTAGAGTCGCCATCTAGTAGAGGTGCTTTTTTAGCTTTTAGTCGTTTTTTTAATACTTCCTCATTGTCACTATTTTTAGATTAAAATTTTCTCCCCCTTCATTACGATGTATCATGTGTACTCATTCTCATAGGTACTCTTTTGCTGTGCATTCTGTGCGCCTGTCGACTTTTTTCATAGTGTGCCAGGAATGCTCAATCACTTTTCGAGCTTTTTGCGATGAAGTTAAAAAATATTTCCTTTCCATATCTTGAAACTATCTTCTTATTAAATTAATAAAGTCGTCATAAAACTAGTCCAATTGTAAACAAAGTATACCAATAACAAATTATAATTTAAAATAATTAGTTTTATAATAAATAACATTCAAATCGATTGAAGATATACACACAGATTTTGTAGTACAGATTTAAAGATAATTTATTTACATATTTATAAGTTTTGGAATACCATCATGTTAAAACAGAATTAACTAAATAAATCTTTATCTTTCCTAGAACAATTACTTTCATTAATGCTTTCTCTTTCATCTTCTATTTCAACATTTGGTCCTTCGTTATTTTCTACATCACATGTTTCATTATCTTTGGTTTCTATTATTTTATCATAAATTAAATTATTTTCTACGGATACTTCATTTTTATCAGACGATGCTTGAGCTTTACCTATCCATACACCTTTAACTTCATCGAATCTATATTTGAATAAGCCAGGAATAGGTCTATCTTCAATAGGATCATAATTGTATTTTCTCTTAAAATCATCCTGATCTTTCTTGAATTCATCCTTTGTTTTTGTGGAATTTAAAAGTTCCTCATCTTTTGAGAATAGTTGACGACAGACAGCTGGTTTGCATTTATCCATTGTTTACTGAAACAAAAGAGAAAATTATAAAAATATGTTTTGTAAATTAGTAATTAAAATTAGTACTTCTACCTAGGGGTTTCTAATTTTATACTATGCTTTTCATTAGTCTGGGAAAATAATGAAATATGGGAGAGGTAGGAGGAAGCTAGTGGAGTAGTCCCCACCTTAGATTATTCTGCCCACCCCAGAATTTTCTAAAATGCACTGCTTCTAAGAAACCATTATCACTGGAAGCTAGACCCCCCTGAAAAATATATCCAGTGAGGTATTTTAACGCCAGATTAAAAACCGAACAACAGATTAAAAATGTTTCTGTGAACGTCAAAATACCAGACACCGTTCGCTTTGCTAAAACTGTGATATATAGCGCAGGAAAGAAATTCCCGTCTGCACATTAGCGTTACGTTTGAATGGAAATAATTTACTGAGCTGGGTCTGGTCTGATTCTGGCTACTTACTCACTACATGCATAAGAGATCAGCATCAGGAACACATTGTCACACGGAATTCTGTATACAATATTATTGAATAGGATGTTTCAATCGTTGATAATTTTTAGACATTCTTAATAGAAAACATTAAATTTGAAAGTTAATTTTTCAACATTCCAATGCTGTTGAAAAATTAACTTTCAATAGAAAACTTACACGAGATTGGTATAGCGGAGCTGGTATACATCAAAATTGAGAAATTAAAGCAGACCACTTTGAGATTAATTCTAGTGCGAAGTTCGGTCAATGTTTATGAAATACGTTACAATGAATAAGAGTATCGGATGTTTATACCACGGTTGAGTTGGTGAATGATTATTGTAAACAATCTGACGACTGTGCCGATTGACAGAGTGCAGTGTATAAAGAAAAGTTAGGTTTTGTTTATTTATTCGCTATAGAGATGCAAAATTAAGATACACACTGTTTCAGTAATGTTCGTCTTTGAGAGTGTTACTAATTAGTTTTTGTATGACCGTACTTAATACACATCCTGTGGCCTAATTTTTTAAATAAAAATCGATCGCAATTCCTTTCGAAGTAGTGATTATTGTTATTATTATAAAAAATTGATAAATGAAACTTAAAGTAATATTGATGTCTAACCTTGCCTTAAAAAATAAAAAAAATCGTCATATTAGCGAATAATCTAATAGGGAGAATAGGTCACGACCCACCCCGCGGGCTCCAGCGCATACGTGGGTATTAACGACTGCAGATGCATCCGATACCAACGGCTTAACGCGCCTTCCAAAGTACAGAGAAGCTCGAGGTAATAATTTTTTTGGTCACCCATCCTATGACCGACCATTATGAAAGTTGCTTAACAATCGTATCGCAGACTAAGGATTGAAAAAGACAGTTCTCTTTTCAAGCTTTCGATTGAATAAATAAAATAAAACTGAGTGCAACCAAATGAGTTGTTATTTTAACCAATCTGAATAAAGATTTCAATTATATACTTCCAACCAAAATATAAGATGGTCAGTGTGATATGAACTGCGTGTTAACGTCGGATTATCACAGTTAGATAACGGTTCCACTATACGGTAGCTTTAACTTTCCAAATACGATACCAAATGGTGATGCTTTTTCTGTTTTTTAACTTCGCTTATTTATTTTTTATCGGTATTAGATGTTATTTATGTCAAAGTCAAAATATTTCTACTCAAATCTATATCTATATTAATATTATAAAGAGGAAATATTTGATTGTGTGTTTGTTTGTTTGTTTGTTTGGAACGAATAGGCTACGAAACTATTGGACCGATTTTTTTTCACATACTGATAGCTACATCATATGCGGTGAACATAGGTAGAAAAAAAAAGAAAATAAAGGCATTCAAATGGAAGTGGAAGTTTGTTTACTATTCAATTTGTCATTGTGATCATATCCGTGTCATGATCTGGATCAATATCCAAATAAACAGTTCCCTACGGATCACGTGGACGAAGTCGCTGGTGTAAAGCTAGTAAATTTATATAGTACTTTTTAATTGTACAAAATTTTTTACCTACCACTCTTTCAGGCCCCTTTACAATTCTGTCTAACCTTACAAGGAGCTTTGAGGCGTCCACGTCATAATAGGTCACTGCTTGAAACGAGTTCTTAAGATTTTTACTTATTATTTTAATAACCTGATTATAATTAGCTAATGTGCCTACCGTATAAGCTGATGGATTCAGATATCCGAACGCCGTCACGTAAGCCCAGTGCGGTTTATTGGGTGACTACAAATGTAGACCAACGGCTTGATGTGCCTTCTAAAGCATGGAGGAGCTAAGACAAAAAAAGAGGTCACCCATCCCATGACCAGCCCATGAAAAAGTTGCTCAACTTCGCATCGTAGACCGAGTATACTAATCGAGCCATCGAGCTCCACAGTTAATAAATCACCCAGTTTAAGCAACATATAACAAAACCATAATATGATTTTGTTGTATAGTAAGTAATGTTGTTTTTTTTATCGTTCCAATTTTTACGACCGTGATTAGCTATTTATGTGATAAAAAATTGGCGCGTTTTTAAGGTTCGTAGCGAGTTATGAATATTCATTCTAATATCTCATACGTACCGGTAATTATATATTACAAGCTTAACAACATAAATATTGATCAAATTGGTGTAATATGTATCTATGTTCCTAAGGGTACGCCTACACTGTCCAATTCCCCTCTTCTTTTCGAGGCTGCATTCGAGGAAACTTATATGAATAAATAATAACTTTTAATGAGATACGTTTTATATTAATAAATAAACATTCCAGAGTTCTGTCTCAGAAAATCAAAAGGATACCTTATAGCAGTTCCAAAGTTGATTGGACTCCATCCATATAACAAAACTTTCTAAATTTTGGAACCAACCTTTTAGCTGTCTTATAGTAAATATATATACACCGGATAAAACAGTGGATAATCCACCATTAGTGCTCACATCTTGCACGAGAGGTCACATTGAAGGATTTTTAAAGAGTATGACTGTAGGTCAATTGGGTGGATACATCCTCCTTATCAAACATAATTTAATACAATAAATTGAACTGCGTGGTACTGGGGTTTGCATAACTTTGACTACAACTATAATACTACAGCCCTGGAGTTAGCCAGATTATATAGTAGAAGCAAAGGTAAATATTGTTAACTTACTGTTACTTATTGGTAAAATGTTCTTTAAATGTTTCACGCTTTTATTCATTTTATTTCTTTATGTCATTTTAAAGCAATTCAAGACGCAATGTTTGGAGAGGTGCTTTCGTGAGTGTATACACTGCTTAAATAACGTGCTCTTACGAATAACATGAAAATTATATATTTTTTTTGAATTAATCTTCTTTTTTTCTGTATGTGATTCAAAATAAGTTACGTTTATTAACTGAGTATCAATACACCAAGAGCTTATGTATGTCTGTTTACTGCAATTATTACATAAGATTTAAAATAATTTTTTAAGTAAATATTAATAATTTATATTTTATAAGTAATGTATAATGTCAATACCGAATGTAGGTATATTTGATATTTACATCTACTCATCGCATTAGATAATGAGTAATAAACTTTAACTAATTTGTTTAATTATCCAAAGTAAAACAAGTTTTTTTTTGTATTTATAGTAACAGGATATTTTTTATCGGTTACGAATATTTTGAAAGTTATTTTTTTACTTTCAGTTGGTTCAAAAAAGGCTGATTTTTATAAATATTTATTTACTAACTTTTTTCATTTTAATTAATTTTTCTTCACAAGAATCGTCCATCTTGGTATGAGGTAAAAAGAGATATTACACTCTGTAAAAAAAAAGTATCCTGATTGTGAATTCAAAAAGAAAGGTTGAAATAAGGTGCTGTTAATATTTTGTGGCTTCCATACTAAATGTAATATTATACTTAAAAAAATAGTAGTACCTAATTATTTTTAACCGCAGTTGCTGCTCAAAATAGTGATTTTCGGAAAATTATAAATTTTCCGAAAACAAAAACGTTATAAAGTTACTTTGAAAATCCAATGACTTCAATTCCTTTACATTAAATAATATATGTGAATGCATGTTAATGAACAATTATACAATAAACGGAACATTTTCTGAGCTGTTCTTGAAATTCTTGTAAGCATCATCATCCGCCTCGTAGACTGGCCTTGCCATTTCATCTTATTTTATTATCATTTTTAAAACACAAATAATTTAGCATTTAGACCGTTAGTCATGTATAGGAAAAGAAATAGCTACTGCAATTGGTGAACCAGAAATAACACTCTAACGAGTAATAACAGAATGTCGTAATGCTTATTTTTGTGACAAACTACAATTTGTGACCTGAATTCTAAGTTATATTTGGACTAAACATTAAATAGCAATCGAGACTTTGGTGATAATTAATGAATAAAACTAAATAATACCTATTTATCGATCAACGTGGGTTATATTCTAAAGTGAGTTCAAAACTTGACTACCCATTTCATTGAAATCAAATCCGAAAGAGTCAAACAATTTCCCATATTGTAATAAAATATTATTTACCCTCCAATCCGCATTGGGCCAGCGTGGAGGGTCATGGCCCATCCCCCTTAACCATTCATAAGGAAGGCCTGAACCCCTGCAGTGGGGACGTAAAAAGGGCTGATGATGAATAAAATATTTAAATTCAAGATTTATTTAATTCCACAATTAAAAATTGGTTGGGTATCTAGAATAGATACATAATTAACACTAATTTAACATTAAATATAAGAAACCACTACTGACTTAACAGAATTTCAAATCTCTCTCTTAAAATGAAATGATTACGCTAGATATAGATAACTTTTTCTTGGAATAGGTCGACAAGATGTTTTCTGGTGTGTATAGATAAGATTCAAATATTCTAATTATGACACTGACCTAGGTTTATATGAATAAATTAAAAAGTCTTAAGTAAATTTACAGTTAATAAAGTAATTAGGTTGAAACATTCAAATTTAAAAACGGAGAACTGTTAAAATTACTACATAAAATTAAAATTACATTTTGAACGAACTCCTAAGCTACAATTACAGAACACGTAACGAACAAGTAATTACATTTTGTAATTCAAAGTTAAGAACAAAATCTGTTGTTGGGAGCT